CCCCGACCCACTTGCGCCCTCAAAACCGCCCTCTGCATGCACTGACAGGTGTATCGCGCACTCCACGATGAGGGCCTGGGGGACAAGGACTTTTCATCCGTTTATCGCTACCGCTACGGCTCAGGCTGCGACAACCCAGAGTGGTAGGCAAAACCAATCTAGCCGATCTTTTGAACACCTTGCTCCCTTGATCACTGATTGTGGGTGGCCCCGTTCAAACCGCGCTGTCGCACCGGCGGTTGACTTTGCCTCCCTCGCCTCTCCACCCAGCTCTCATCCCTGAAAATCCCAGGGCACCCACCCATTGCAGCTGCCGGCAAATTACACAGGGCAGAATGCTGCCTTACTCATCTCATCCACTTCCATATACTGTATCAACTGAGCCCCGCTCATGTCGACAACACCTTCTTCGCAAACGCAGGAAGGAAGGCCAGCAGCTTTACTCCAGCCAGATCCCCTGAGGTGGCCACCAGGCCGAGTCTCCAGCAGATCCATCCCTGCAGCAGACGCTCTTTCGATGGGCCACGCTACAGATTCTCAAGATCACCCCATGCCGGTCAGGCTGAGGATCAAGGGATGCAATGAAGCGGGCTGTGTGGTCACGGTACTCGGCCCGAAACGGACTAGGCTTGTGCTCGGCAGGCGAAGGGACCATGAGGAAGCCTGGGCAGCAGATCTATCAGGGCTGTGATCTTGAGTAGCTGCTTGACGTTTTATTCTTCCACGAGGACGTAATGCAGATAACCAACCGATTGGCCAGCAGGACCCTTGAGGCTGTCACGTCAGGTCAAATCGAGCACGGTCAAACCTTGCGCAAGCATGCATGCAGGTTCTCCTTGTAAGAGAAGGCTGCACATACAATTTTGCGAGGAACTTATGAGTCTCATCTTGCACCATTCATGACTTGGGGCTGGCCCTTAAAGGCAGTCGAGCGCCCACAGGCAGTCATGAACGAATGAATGCTGACCGCGCAGGCGGCGGCCGTGTCAGCTCATGTTGGTCGCAGCTACGGGTGCGCAGACTCGCGTTACAAAGCTTGAATTATAGGGGCAGTTGTGCATCAACCAAAGCAACAAAAATCTTCTCTCTAAGTTGTGATCTGGTGTGCCGGGTGCGCAGAGCGCTCAGACGTATCGTGCGACGGATTATTAGCAACTGCTTTTACTATCCACACAACATCTAATGCCATAAAGTAAAAAGCGGGTCTTGCCACCGCATCATGCTTGCAGTGTAGCGCGTCTGGTCCTCATTTGCCGGCGAAGATTGAACACTAGAGGACTCGAAGCTCGAATTTGTCATTAGCAGCAAGCTAGCAACTGCTGCGCCTCTTTGGAACGGCAGAGGGGCCGTCGGCGCGCCAGCGCTGCCGTCAGGTCGCTGCGATCGGTTCCGGCTATGCGGCTGCTGATAGGCTAGCGGCATGAGGATGGGAGGAATCGCTGGCAGCACTAGCAACTGCTGGCATGGCCCCGTCCCACTGGCCTCGCCCGCTGGCGCGTGTCGAGCAAGCGCAAGCACCCCCGATCGACGTTACGCGGAGGTGCGTCTGGGCATGGTTAGGGCCCCTCGCGACGCGGCGCACTGCTGCATGCACGTCCCACATGGTGGGAACTGCACTCATTCAATCAGCGCGCCCACGCCTGCCCACGGCTGGTGTGTGCACGCCCGCCCTCAGGCGCGCCGCTATGGTGCGGCCATTGCGACGGAGAGCAGAGGCCGCAGATGGCCGGGCACAGCTGCTTCATCCATAAACTCTCGGCAGCAGCTCTGTACAGATTCAGAGCCGCAAGCTACGCGAGGTTCTCAGCAGCCAGCCCAGCCACAGCTATCAGCAGCCTCGGATCGCCCGCAGCAGCGGCAGGGCCATCAGCAGGCCAATCCCGCGGGGGCCCGCAGCGCGCCTGCTTGGTCGGCGGTGCGGCTGCCCTCCCCCTCGCAAGCTGCCGTGGCCCCGGCCGTCTCTGATGCTGACATGGCCCTGCCGCCGGAGGTTGTGACCATCAAGATACGCGGCTCCTGCTGCATCGCGCAGCTGGTGGCGCGCTGCCTGCGGTTCGAGCGGCGCATGAACCCCATCCACATCAGCGCGGCGCTCGTGGCCGCGGTGCGGCTCGCGGAGCAGGGGAACTGGCTGCCCGTGGATGCAGCGGGGGCTTTCGAAGCCGAGGGTGCGGCGCGAGGCGCCGTCAGGGCTGCGGCGTCGCGTGAGGGTGTGTTGCCGCTGTGGCGCGGCCTCGAGCGGATGGAGTGGCAGCAGGAGGAGGCCTGGCAGGAGGTGCAGCACGAGCAGGTGCAGCGAGAGGAGCACCGGCAGCAAAAGGCGCAGCAGCAAAAGCAGCAGCAACAAGAGCACCGGCAGCAAAAGGCGCAGCAGCAAGAGCAGCAGCAGCAAGAGCAGCAGCAGCAAGAGGAGCAGCACAATGGCAGCTGGGAGACGCGGCCGCCGCACCCGGCACAGGCGCTGCCGTGGAAGCACCAGCGCCTGCACCTGCGGAAGCGCCTGCGCTGGACAGTGGACGCGCTCGTGCGGCGCCTCGCGTCGCAGCGCGTGCTCTGCGGCGGCCGCGAGATCGGCAACGTGCTGTGGGCGCTCGCGCGGCTGGGCGCGCCGCCGCCGCCGCCGCCGCTGCTGCGGCAGCTGCTCGGGCAGTTTGCGGACGCGCTGCCGGGCACGAGCTGCACCAGCATATCCAACACGCTGTACGCCCTCGCTGTCATGGGCTGCGCGCCGCCGCCAGAGTGGACAGACCAGGTGCTCTACAGCTTCGTGGCGCACGCGACGGGCCCCAGGCACGCGCGGCCAGCGAGGCACGGGCAGCCCGCGCAGCATGGAGCGTCCCCCCGGGGCGGCTGCGAGGGTGACTACACAAGCAGTGGTGGCGGCGGCGTCGGCGGCGACCCGCGTGACCCCTGGGTGTGCAGCCCGCAGGCGGTGTCCAACGTGGTGTGGGCGCTGGGCTGCATCCGGCAGCGCCACGTCGCGCGCGTCTGGGTGCCGGCGCTCGTCCGCCTGCTGCGCGGCGCCGCGCGGCCCGACAGCCCGCAGGTGCTGGCAAACGTGCTGGCCGGCTGCGCGCGGCTGGGCCTCGGCGGTGGCAGCTCGCCCGGACGAGAGCTGAAGGCAGACCTCGAGCGGCTGCTCTGCGACTCGGCGCCGCTCCTGGCATCTGCTAAGCCAGCAGAGCTCGCGACCATCGCCTGGGCTGCTGGCCAGCTGGCGTTGCCCCTGGACAGCAGCTTCTTCGCCGCTTCTGGGCGGCTGCTGGGCAGCTCCTCGCACGGCGAGCTGGCGATAGTGCTGCATGGCGCCGCGCGGTGCGGCGCGGCCCCGCCGCCGTCCTGGCTGGCCTCGTACATGGTGGCAGCGTCCCGGCAGCTTCTGGCGTTTGACGCGTGGGAACTGTCGGTCGTGCTATGGGCGCTGGGCGTGATGAGGGTGCAGCCCGAGGTGTCGTTTGTCGAGGCGGTGCTCAACGCTTTCTGCCAACGAGCAGCGGTGGCGCTGGAGGGGCATGGCGTCGCGCGTGAGGCGGCGCTGCAGGACAACACCAAGCTGGAGCAGCAGCACGAACAGCAGGAGCAGCGGCAAGACCCGGAGCAGAACCAGCAGCAAAAGCAGCAGCGACAGCAGCAACAACAGCAACAGCATCAACGGCGACAGCAACAGCAGCAGAAGCAACAGGAGCAGGAGCAGCAGCAGGAGCAACAGCAGCAGAACAAAGTCTTCAGCAGTGCTGCGGGCGAACGGCTCGCACAGCACGAGGACGGGGGGTCCATGGCAGGGGCCGTGACGCGCATGGTGCGCGCTCTGGGGATGATGCGCTACCGCCCCTCGGCACGCGTCATGGCATCGCTGATGGCGGCTGCAGAGAAGCTGCTGCCTGAGTTTAGGTGAGAGTTGGCGCAGTGGTGGTGCGGCTCGTGCATGGCTTTGCCTTTGCTTCTGCTGCCGCGGTTGCTGCTGCTGCTGCTGCTGCCGGTGCCGCAGCTGCTGCTGATGCAGCGGCCACCGCTGCTGCTGCCGCTGCTGCAGCTGCTGCTGTACAAGTCCAGGCCTGCATGCTCCTCTGCGACGCCCATCAGATTGCAGCGCCAGTGGAACCCCTTGTCCTAGGCGCGGGCTGAGCCGCACCCACCAACTCGATCGTGTGCCGCTCCAGACCGCGCTCCCCCTGCCAACGCGCCACCACATCCCGCTGCCCTCGTCAACACCCTCCCAAACACCCCCTCTCTGCCTTGCCCAGCCCCCACGCGGTCGTGTCGCTCATGTGGGGCACCGGGCGCCTGGGCTGCCGGCCCCCCCTGCCGCTGCTGGGCGGCGTGCTGCGGCGCTGCGAGGAGCTGCTGCCGGCAATGTCGCCGGGGGACACGGTGGCGCTCACATACGCACTCTGCAGGCTTCAGGTTGGTCCGCGGCCGCGCGTTGCCGAGCAGTGCTGGTGTAATGAGGCGTCGAGCTTTCAGCTGCGGCTGCGGAGGCGAGGCTGGGGTGACGCGTCGGCTTCGGCTCCTGTGCCGCGCCGCAAGGGCAGGGCGCGCCGCCCACACCGGCGCTGCCCGTCCCAATCATTTGCGTTTGCGCGCGGCCGGGGCCTCTCCCTCCACGCCCGCCCGCACCCGCCCGAAATGCTGCTCTCCTCGCCCCCTGCAGGGCCGCCCGCGCGTGCTGCGCGAGTGGCTGCGGCGCCGCCGCCAGCGCGAGCGCCTGCTGATGGACGTGGTGCGGCTGGAGGCCGTCGATGAGAAGACGCGCGCCGCTGAGCTGGCGGCGCGCCTGCGGCTGGCGCGGCAGGCGGCAACGCGGGAGGAGGGGGCGGCAGACGGTGGCGCGGGCGTGGGCGCGGCGGGGCAGGACGCCGCGGGGCGAGCGGAGGGGGAGGCGGGCGCGGAGGTCAGGGGGATCGCGGAAGATCTCCAGGCGGCGCGCGCCCGTCTGGCGGAGCGGCTGCACACTCTCGTGCGCTGGCGCCAGAGCGCGCAGCTGCTCGAGCGGCAGCTGCGGGAGCAGCACAACCGCTGGCGCGCGGCGCCCGGCGCGGCGGCGGCGGCGCGGATGGTTTCGCCGGCGCTCGTCGCGGCCGTGTTTGAGCACGCGCGGCGCGGCGTGGCGGCGCTCCCGGCGCGCGGGGTGGCGCGCCTGTTGTGGGCCGCGCCGTGGCTCGGCTACCGCCCTCCGCCGGCGTGGTCCGAGGCCGTAGAGCGCCAGCTGGCGGGGTGTGTCAGGCGCCTCACCCTAACAGACGCCTGCCTGCTGCTGTGGGCGGCAGCACGCCTGCAGCCGGACTTCACGCCTAGTCAGCAGCTGCTGGGCGCGCTGGTGGCGCGCACAGAGGGGCTGCTGATCGCGGCCGACGCCGCCCCGCACGCGCCGCCGCCGGCCGGCGCGGCCGCGGCCGGAGAATGGATGGCGTTCTCGCAAGGGGCGCCCGCGCCGGGCGCGGCCGATGGGAGCGGCGGGGCGGCGGCGTGGGGCGTGCGGCGGCCTTTGTGGCCGCCAGGGCTGCAGCCCTCAGGCGCAGACGCCGCGGGCCCGCGCCCGCGGCAGCTGCTGTTGCCCGCGCCGCAGCTCCCAGCCCCCCGCTTCCGCTACCGCGGCTCCCCGCCGCTGCCGGCGGCGGCGCCCGGCGCCGGCTGCCGCCCCGCGCCGCCGCCGCGCGTGACCCCTCAGGACGCGGTGATGCTACCCTGGGCCCTGGCTGAGCTGGGCGCGTGCGCGGGTGCCCCCTGGTCCGCCGCGTTCTGCGCCGCCGTGCACCGCGCGCTGCCGCGCATGAGTGGCCTGCAGCTGGGCGTCATGCTGCGCGCCCTGGCCACGCTGCGCGCCCGCGCGCCGGGGGCGTTCCTGGAGGCCGCGGAGACGGTCGCTGACGTCAGCAGCGCGCGGTGGGCGCCGGGCGCGCTGGCGCTCGTGTGCGCGTCGCTGGTGCAG